ACGGCGAGGTCTACCTCAGGTCTGCGCGGTGTCCCACTCCGCTGGACCCACCAGCAGCCCTCGACAGTGGCGACAATTTCGCAGATCGCAGCCCCAAAGGGACGGCGAGGTCTACCTCAGGTTTGCGCGTGGTGCCTCACTCCGCTGGACCCACCAGCAGCCTTCGAAAGCGGCGATCGTTTTGTAAATCGCCCCCCCCTTCTCCCCAGGGACGGCGAGGTCTACTTCAGGTCTGCGCGGTGCCTCACTCCGCTGGACCCACCAGCAGCCCTCGAAAGTGGCGACAGTTTCGCAAATCGCAGCCCCCCCCACGGACGGCGAGGTCTACCTCAGGTCGGCGCGGTGCCTCGCCCCGCTGGACCCACCAGCAGCTTTCGAAAGCGGCGGCAGTTTCGCAGATCGCAGCCCCCCCCCCTAGGGACGGCGAGGTCCGTGGTGCCTCACTCCGCTGGACCCACCAGCAGCCTTCGAAAGTGGCGACAGTTTCGCAGATTGCAGCCCCTCAGGGACGGCGAGGTCTACCTCGGGCCTGCGCTGTGCCTCACTCTGCTGGACCCGCCAGCAGCTTTCGGAAGTGGCGGCAGTTTCGCATATCGCAGCCCCCCAGCGACGGCGAAGAGAGGGCCGGAGGGGGGAGGGGGGAGGAAGGAAGGACGCGCAAGCTGTGTTCTATTCGGAACGAATACCCAACCAAGGAAGGTGGGAAACACATGTTTTTTCCGTGCTACGGGGAGGGGTGGAGGACACCTTTAGCACGAACAAAATTGATGCGTTTGTGCCACGGGGAAGCCGGGGGGGGGGCGCAGCACGAAACGGTAGTTTTTTGTGCTAGGGGGGGAGGGCGCAGCGCCAACAAATCTATCTGTTGGCGCAGCGCAGCGCGAAGAAAAAAGAGAGGGGGGGGGGGGGGGGGAAAAACGCGCTACGGTGAGGCGGGGGGGGGTCTCAGCGCGGCTCGAAAACATATGTTTTGGTGCTGCGGAGGGGCGGCGGGGAAGGGCGCGGCACGAACAAACACATTTGTTCGTGCTATGGGGTGGCGGGGAGGGGGCGCATCAAGGAAAAACAAAACAACTATGTTCCGTGCTGCGGAGGGGCTGCGGGGGAGGGCGTGGCACACAGAAGAAACAACAACCTGCATGTGTTGGTGTTACGGGGAGGCGGAGAGGTGCAGCGCAGCACGAAGGACTTGTTTTTCTTTTGCTGCGGAGGAGCGGCGGGGAAGGGCGTAGCAGTAAAAAACATGTGTTTCTTGCTGCTGGGAGGCGCGGGGGGGCGCAGCGCAACACCGAACAAACATTTTTCCGTGTTACGGAAGAGCGGCGGGGAAGGGCATGGCACAGAAAAGTCAATGTGTTCGTGCTACGGAAAAGGCGGGGAAGGGGGGGCGTAGCACGAACAAATCGATTTGTCTGTGTTTCGGGGAGTGGGCGGACGAAGACCGTAGCACGAACAAATCGATTGTTTGGTGCTACGGGGAAGCGAAATGGGATTGCAGCGTAGCAACAGAAACATTATTTTCTGGCGCGTCTGCTGAGCACGCAAAAGTTAACGTTGGCGTGCTAGGGACCCCTCTCGTTCGTGTTAAGACCCCCCTCCTGACCCGAGCACGCGCCCAAAGGGGGTCTCAGCACGCAAAAAAAGAGGCCATTGCACGAGAAACTTAATTTTTGCGTGCTAAGATCCCCTCTCTTTTTGGGAGGGGGGTCTTAGCACGCGGATTTCAGTTTTCCCAACCCTCCTTGGTTGAGCATTCGTTTTGAATAGAGCACTGCTCGCGCGTCCTTCCTTCCTCCCCCATCCCTCCTCCTGCCCTCTCTTCGCCGTTCCTGGGGGGCTGCGATATGCGAAACGGTCGCCACTTCCGAGGGCTGCTGGTGGGCCCAGCGGAGCGAGGCACCGCGCAGACTTGAGGTAGACCTCGCCGTCATTGTGGGGCTGCGATCTGCGAAATTGTCGCCACTTTCGAGGGCTGCCGGTGGGTCCAGCGGAGTGAGGCACCGCGCAGAGCTGAGGTAGACCTCACCGTCCCTGGGGGGCTGCGATCTGCGAAATTGTTGCCACTTTCAAAGGCTGCTGGTGGGTCCAGCGGAGTGAGGCACCGCGCAGACCCGAGGTAAACCTCGCCGTGCCTGGGGGGCTGCGATCTGCGAAATTGCCGCCACTTTCGAGGGTTGCTGGTGGGTCCAGCGGAGTGGGACACCGCGCAGACCTGAGGTAGACCTCGCCGTTGTTTGGGGGCTGCGATCTGCGAAACTGCCGCCTTTCGAGGGCTGCTGGTGGGTCCAGCGGAGTGAGGCACCGCGCAGACCTGAGGTAGACCTCGCCGTTCCTGGGAGGTTGCGATCTGCGAATCTGTCGCCACTTTCGAGGGCTGCTGGTGGGTCCAGCGTCAAATTGAGATCTAACATGGGATGCTAGAAAGCAACTCGGCATCTATCATGAAGCATTAGAACTCATATTCCATGTTAGATTTCAATGTGAGCTCTTACATGGGATGTTGGAACTCGATTGAGTTCTAGCAGCCCATGTTAGATCGGTGTTCAGCGGAGCGAGGCGCCGCGCAGACCTGAGGTAGACCTCGCCGTCCCTGGGGGGCTGCGATCTGCGAAATTGCCGCCACTTTCGAGGGCTGCTGGTGGGTCCAGCGGAGTGAGGCACCGCGCAGACCTGATGTAGACCTCGCCGTTGTTTGGGGACCGCGATCTCCGAAATTGTCGCCACTTTCGAGGGTTGCTGGTGGGTCCAGCGGAGTGAGGCACCGCGCAGACCTGAGGTAGACCTCGCCGTCCTTGTGGGGCTGCGATCTTCGAAATTGTCGCCACTTTCGAGGGCTGCTGGTGGGTCCAGCGTCAATGTGGGCTCTAACATCCTATGTTGGAGCTCAAACTGAGATCTGTCATGCGGCTTTTAGAGCTCAAATTGAGATCTGACATGGGATGTTAGAGCTAAAATCGAGATCTAACATGCGATGTGTGAGCTCAATCGAAATCTAACATGGGATGTTTGAGCTCAAATCGAGATCTAACCTGGGACGTTTGAGCTCAACTCGAGATCTAACATGGAATGTTAGAGCTGGAGGTCGTCGTCCTGCCGAAACTCTCTTCCACCAGGAGGTCGTCGTCGCTCCCGTCTCCTCCGTCCGCCTCCTCTCTCCGCTGGTGGTCATCGGCGATCCGGGCTGCGTGGAGATGCCGAACCCCCGCGTCAGGTTGCAGAAGAAGCTGCGCGCCAGCGACAACAAGATCAGAGCGCGCACGCCCCATCACAGGCCCCCCGGAGTCTTCCTAGGGAGCCAGCGTTTTCAAGAAGATCTGGACATGTGGTCCTTCGGGTGCCCGATCGCGGAATTATGCGCCAGCCGCTCTTTTCCGCTACGGACGGCAGAGACTTCGTGGATGCCACGACGAAGATCTTGGGGCCACCAGGCAGCAAGAGAGAGGGGGCGCAGCCACGTGGATGGATTCCTTGCCTTCCTTCAAGAAGTGGTACGGGCAGTCAGGCGAGGCTTGGCTGTAGGCTGAAACAGCGAAGCCTCCGCGGGCGTGGCCCCCTCCCTGCCTCGACGGCTGCCCCGAAGGTCCCGCCCAGCTCGTCGACCAGTTGTTGGCGTGGCTGCCGTCCGCGAGAATGGGCGTCGCCGAGGCGAAAGCCAACTGCTTCCTGCAGTCGCCTGCCAGGCGACTGCATGGCCAGGTGACGCTGGCAAGAACGGCGCCGGAACCATAGCGGAGGGAAGCCTCGACACAGCTTTGCTCCGCTTTTTTGCAGACGTGCCCCAGCTGGAACATCATGGCTAAGGACCGCCTGGAGACGGGAGCAACCCGTTCCCAATTGCGCTCGGGGGAAGGAGGCGGCGTTGGGTGTCAAAACCAAGGTCGCAGGCATCGTCGACGAAGAGAACCCCCTTTGTGTGCCGCACCCTGAACGGGGGCGCGAACTCGCAGCTGATCCCGTCGGAGCGCTTCGCCGCTTTCGGACGAGCGCCACGGGCTCAGCGGCGCCATTGGCTGCAACAGCTGGGCGGCAAAATGCGCGAGGCGGCCCGCCCCAACAATATGCCATCATTTATCTACAAGACGAACGGGAAGCCCATCCTGGAAGAGGACTTCGCGGACGACGCGTTCGCGCGCGCGTCGGTCCAGCTCGCTCGTGGAACCAGGCGCGCGGGACAATGGCTGGCACGCAGACGGCGGCTGCTCCTTGCTGCGCGCGGCCGCGGCGCTTTTCGGCGCGCGCCCCGTGGAAGTGAAGGTGGAAGGTCATGGGCACATCGCCCTCCTCCAAGAGCCTGGGCCCTTCTACGCGGGGAACCTGTCCGCCCTGCACCACAACGTGCTCCACCACGAGGAGTGCCAGCACACTTTCGGCGGATCTGCTGCAACGGCGAAGACCGACGACGCCGACGACCTGCGGCTGCAGATCGCCGCCGCGCTTCGCTCCGACGTGTTTCGGGAGTTCAGGGCGCGCGAGATCGACTCCACGCCTGGCCCTGCGGAGTTCTTCCGCGTCGTGAACTACGCCGTGGCCCAGCACTTGGCCGAGGTCACCGTGGCCCCCCCTAACCTGACGGAGGTGCTTCCCGAAGTGTCGCGCGCTAGCCGCGCGAGGCAGCGCGTCATCCCTGCTTCTGGCGAGGCCGCGCAGGCCTGGCCGAGTAGGCGCTGGACCCCACTGCTCGTCAAAGCATCTTGTCCTGCATGACGACGGCGACTAGAATGATGGTGTTCGTGACGGCGATGCCGATGACGATGATATGACGATGACGATGAGAATGAAGAAGACGACGTTGTGATGATGATAGCGTTGACGATGACGATGGTGATGATGTCAATGATGATGAGGATGATGAGGATGATGGTGATGGTGAAAACCATCGAAAACCGATTGAGTTAGTTGAATCCCAAAAGCTCGCCCTAGCCCACACCAGATCATGTTTCATTATTGGTTGTATTCTATTATTGCTCATATTATTCAAGAGTCTTCTGCTGCCCGTACAGGCGTGCCCGAGGGAGCTTTACGCCCCTGGCTGCACCTCCCTGGCGCGGGCGACGTGGTCGTCTTGCCCGCGGAGCCGGCGGCCTTGGGGGAACTCGCGGCCCCGCCGCTGGGACGTGACCAGAGCGTGGAGGTGTTGTCGTGCGTTCCCTCCGAGGACCACGGGCGCGCCCATAGCATAACAGACGATGACACCTCCTCCTCCTCCTCCTCCTCCTCCCTCCTCCTCCTCCTCCTCTCCTCCTCCTCCTCCTCCTCCTCCTCCTCCTCCTCCTCCCTCCTCCTCCTCCTCCCCCCTCCTCCTCCTCCTCCCCTCCCCCCCTCCTCCTCCTCTCTTCCTCCTCCTCCTCCTCCTCCTCCTCCTCCTCCTCCTCCTCCTCCTGCTGGGGAACAAACGATGACATTGACATACAAACTCGGAGATCCGCGCGGATTCCTCGGATCTGTGCCAGGGCCCCTTGGGGGCGCCTCTGGCGCCGCCCTTGGCGCGCCCCGCGCGCCATGGACGGGGGGTCCAGCGCCGATCCGAGAAATCCATACGCCGCTTGAGCGCTGGAAGGAGGCGGGGTTGACTACGCCAACATTGGCGCGTTGGCTTCCCGCGCAGGGTGGCACACGAGTGCCCTCCTCGCTTGCAAAGTGGCGTGCCGTGCTGGTGGCCCGCGTAAGCCAGTGCGCAAGTTCGCTATATCGCGAAAGACCCGTTTCTTTTCGTCGTTCAAGTGGCGCGCGGGCGGGAAAAAGTATAAACAGTCACGTGCATTGTGGTGAGATGTGCCTGCTAATACAGAGGACGAGGAGCGCAACATGATTGTGAAGCAGAAAGGCAGAGAGCCCCACGACTGTGAAGCAGATAAGCAGTGCGCCCCGCGACTGTGAAGCAGAAAAACAATAGGAGACGGGAGAGGGGACGGAGGAGGAAAAGGGAAGCATTCAAGCCAATCGTTCTCACCGTTGTCGAGAGCAGAGTACGCGCAAAGTTCGACGAGCAAACGAAGGCATAAACATAAACTGTCGGAGCTCCGCGCGGATTTCTCAGATCTGCGGTGGATCTCCCTTGCAGCGCCTCCGGCGCCGACCTTGGCGCGCTCCGCGCGCCAAGGAGGGAGGGGGTAGCGCAGATCCAAAAATCCGCACGGACCTCCGAAAGTGTTCTTTTATGATTGTGGTTTCTTCTGCAAATGCTTCGCTATAGGTATTCATCGCTACCCTGAGATCCGGGAGCCGCGGTTGTTTCACCCGGGCGTGTTCGCACGGTCTCGGGCCCTAGAGCCATCACAGATCGATCCAGCTCGAGACATGCAGCAGAAAAATGGGAGTTCTAGGGCTCTGGTCACGATGGTGCTCGCGATGCTGCATTTGTTCGCGACGTTGGATGTCAGGGTCGCAGATAAGGCACGAAGCTTACGGTTTTACAGCGTTGCCCCTTGAACCTGCTGCGCCCACTCTGGTGCTGACCAGATCGTGTGCGCTCTCAGGGGCGGCGATTCTGCGACCTCACGCGATTTCGTAGACGCGATGAGCGGCCAGCGCAGACCAGCCATCAAGCCTGTGTGCTATTCTCCTCCTCATCATTATCATCGGGCCTGCTGCCCGGTCCGTGCTGACGGGTCGACGCGCGCTGGAGAGGGTTTCGGGCAGCCAGGACCAGGATAGATTCTGCCCGAGCGGCCCAGAACGCTCTCAGAGCGTTGGAGCGCTCTGCAGCGGCTGCGGCGCTCGATACATCCTCCAGAACCGCCAGATCTCTTGGCATCGGTCGGGCGTGTGCATATTTCTCGGCGAGGACCATCGGGGAGCATCCTGGATCATCGAACCAAAGGAGCACGCACGAGGAATCGAAAAATGCACGGGGAATAGACGTCCGAGCGATGGCGAGATCTCTGAGACGGATCTCAACCCATGCCGGTCCGATGCTCCGAGGAAGCAAACAACCCATAAACATATGTTTTGGCGCTCCGCGCGGATTTCTTGGATCTGCGCTGGACCCCCTTCCTGGGCGCGCCCAGTGCCCCAGGGGCGCCGCCAGGGTGTTCCGGCGCCGATCCGAGAAATATCCGCGCGGACCTCCGAATTATTATGTTTATGTCATTGCTTGTTTCCCTGATGTTATCCCCGTCTCTCGGGTATAGCCAGGAGTCCAGGTAAGGGGACCCGACTAGTGGTAGGGCCGCGGAGCCCCCGAACGGGTCAGAATCGCTAAACAACCAGGTCTGCCGTAGCTGGTGTTCTTCGGGAGACGGCAGTTCCGGTCAGTGGAACGGGGTGGGGGGGGGGCGTCCCCCAGTACTCGGGGGCGGAAAAGAGGGGGGTGATGACTAGGGGGGGGTGGATATCATGGCGTGGGCCATGATATTTCCCCAGCTCTCATGGCGCCTCTTCTTGTTTCATTACGTCCCTGGCCCCCCCGCTGGGCCGCGCACATGCCGCCGGTCATGATTTGCACCCCACCCTCTTGGACACCCCCCTCTTGGCCGCTCCCGAAGTGCACACCACTAAACCAGGTCCCACTCAACCCAGTTCTGCCAACGCCCTCGTCTCGGCCTCGTCTCAGGACCTGGAGGGCGAGGTCCGCGCCTTCGCGGGGCGCCTCGGCTGGGGCCACCGCTCCGTGGTCGGCGCGGCGTCGCAGTGCCTCGGGTTCTTCCAGGAGGCCAGCGTGGCCCTGGCAGGGGCCCTGCGGCCGCCGCCCCCGTCCTCGTCCTCGTCGTCGGCGTCGTCGTCGGCGTCGTCGCCGGCGTCGTCGCCGTCCTCGTCCTCGGCCTCGGCCTCGGCCTCGTCCTCGTCCTCGTCGTCGTCGTCGTCGTCGTCCTCGTCCTTGTCGTCGTCGTCGTCGTCGTCCTCGTCGACGTCGACGTCGTCGTCGCCCGGGAGGCCAGCAGGGCCCTGCCAGGGGCGAGCGTCGCCGTGCTCCTGTCGCCGCTGCTGCTCTGGGGCCCCACGGCGGGCGCGGCGCTGGTGCTCGAAGGAGAGAAAACCTGTCCTCGACGACGACCAGGAGGGGGATGAGGAGGAAAAGGAGGAGGAGGAGGCGAAGATAAGGAGGAGGAGGAGGAGGAGGAGGAGGAGGAAAAGGAGGAGGAAAAGGAGGAGGAAAAGGACTCCCCCCTGGGACCCCCCCCTTGGGGAGGAGGACCGGAGGAGGAGCGGCATGGGAGAGGGGAGGGGAGGGGGAGGAGGACCCCCAGGGACGGATGCGCATCTGCCCCCCCCAAACTGGTTGGAGCCAGCTGGGTCGGGGCTGCAGCGACCCAGACCCCCTCGAGGAATGAAAAAATCGCGGCGGGAGGCTCGTCAGCATTTTCTGCATCTGGGGGGCCCTTACTGGGCCTCAGGACAGTCAGAAACCGACTCAGGATGAGAAGCTGGTCCCGAGGAATAGGTCGAGACCTCTGGGGGTCGACGTCATGATAAAAGGGGGTCTGGGGACGGGGGTCAGTGCAAACGGGGGTCAGCCAGAGCGCCGGATCTTGCAGGATCCTGCAGAGTCAGGGCTGCATTGACCCGGGTCAGGGTGCAGGATCCTGCAGGATCTTGGAGGATCTTGCAGGATCCTGCAAGGCCCGATTGACCCGGGTTCGCATTTACCCGAGTGAGTAGACCTCCGACTGGGGGTTCGAGGTGGCCCAACATTGGTTCTGTCGAGCAGGAAGGGCGGGCTTCGAGGTTCTGGGTTCGGGAAGCTTTTGTATTTTGTTCGGCTTCTGGGGGCCGTTTTCGGACCCCGGGAATGTCAAAAACGACTCCGGGGTGAAAAACAGCACCAGATGGACCCCGGTCAAACGGAGCTAGGACGAGGGGGACCGATTTTGAGCGGATTGGGCCGCATCCCCCCTCGTGACGTTAGATTTCTTGGGCCCCGGGCCCCAAACAGGAAAGACCTCCTGGCCGCCTCCAAAAAAAAAATTGGCGGTGTGCCTCCACCAAGGGATACGATCCAGATCTCGGCGAAACACCCTACTTGCATCCAGGGTGCCCTGGGTTTCTTGGGTTTCGATGGTTTTGCCATGGAAAGCGTGACGTTCCCACGCCAAAAACCTATTGACGTCCTGGGGTCTCGGGGTTGGGTTTCTTGTGGAAAGTTTCTTGTGGTCGAGCCCCTACAGTAATACTCGGGCTTCCTGAGCGAGCGACGCGGAAAAACGAGTTGACTGCGCGGACATTGGCGCGCAAGGTGCCCGCGTAAGTAGGGTCGCGCGTAAGCGCCCTGGCTCCCAGTGTGGCGTTCCGCGCCGGCGGTGCGCGCGAGCTGCGGCGCGAGGTCGCTATGTCAGTGCCAAAAGCAGCGTAAGGTCGCCCTAGCGGCCGAAATACGATCATCAACACCAGAATTTAGGGTCATCTTCCCCCGGTGGAGGCACACCCCTTGGAGGGCCAAGCCGACCTGCTTCTAGAAGACGAACATCTAGGGCCGTTGCCAAATAACGCTCTCACGTCCTAGCCAAAAGCGTCTATGGACACATTGGGTTCCGTGACGTCCATGACACTTTCGGGGTGGATCCGTCTATGGACAACGTGGCTGTTGCGTTCGGCGCGGTGCAAGGTCGGAGAAAGGGTAGATCTGTCTACGGTATGTTCCTGCTCTAAAGCAGTTCCCACAGGGTACTCCAACACCCCCCAGACATGCGACGTCCTGATTGTTTTCAATTCGCGGTCCCCAGAAGTCCCGACCCTTCCCCCAGGACCTGTCTCTCATCCCAGGTCGTTTTCTGACGGTCCTGGGGCCTGGCGAGGGCCCCGAGAGGCCGAAAATGGCCAAAAGCCGCCCGTCATGATTTTTGTTCTAAGATTCGAGCATGTTTGGGCCCCCTGTGTTGGTGTTGGTGCACATTCCGAGCCTCCAGAAGACGGCATGAGCTCAAACTTTCGGAGGTCCGCGCGGACCTCTCTCTTGGAACTGGCGCCGGACCTCCCTGGCGGCGCCACCGGCGCTTCTCTTAGCGCGCCAAGAAGGAGGGTCCAGCGCCGTTCTTAGAGTTAAGTCAGACCTGTCCCTCTACAGGAGGAATCTTCGAACATTGTCAGAAATAGTATGGGGACGATTATTAAGAATGTTCAGTTTTTGATGCTATTCTAAACTGTTCCTCCAAAATCCGCCTGTAGGGGGACATGCCCGACCTAATCCTAGAGCTCCGCGCAGACCTCCGCAGGTCTATGTGCATGCCAGCGGTTTGAGTTTCCAGGTGCACGGCGTGGACGTGCTCTTGGGGAGTCCCCCTCCCGTGCGAGTGCTCGGCTTCCCGACCGTTGACGAGGAGTCCAGGTGGCGTTGGGGCCTGAGGCGGGTCAGGCACCAGTATTGGAAGCTTGTGTATCGAAGACGCCTACGGCGGATCACCGCCGCCCCCCATCTTCTAGAATCGCCGTTGTGGCCGAGCGTTGTGGCAAAAGCTCTGCCAAGGTATCGGGCCATGTGTTCCCCCAACCGTTGTGGAAACCCTTCGGGAAACACTTGGGGGAAGATGGCGGGGAAGATCAGGAGGAGGCGGAGGAGGAGGTGGAGGAGGTGGAGGAGGAGGTGGAGGAGGAGGAGGCGGAGGAGAAGGAGAAGGAGGGGGAGGAGGAGGGGGCATCTTGGGAGCCTCTGGGAACACTCTTGGAGGCTCCTGGGAGCTTCCTGGGAGCCTCTTGGAGGCATCTTGGGGGCCCTCTTGGAGGCCTCTTGGGGGCCTTCGAGGGCTTCTCGGGGGCATCCGTCTGACGCCGTCGGAAGCCGTCTTGGGGGCCACTCTGGGCCGATGGCCCTCTTGGGGTGCTCCAGGGCCGCCTTGGAGGCCATCCTGGGCGTCTTGGAGGCCTCTTGGGCCGCCTTGGGGGCCTCTGGGGGCCGTCTTGGGGGCCTCTTGGGCCGTTCTGAGGCCATCTTGGAGGCCTCTTGGGCGATCTTTGGGTGCTCTTGGGCCGTCTCGGGCCGTCGGAAGGCCGAAAAGAAGCAAATACCAAAATCCTTCAAAAACCCAGGAAAATCCATGATGTTGGCCTCTTCTGGCCTTCTGGTAGCTCTCTTGGAGGCCTCTTAGGCCATCTTAGAGCCATCTTGGGCCGTCTTGGTGGGCTCCTGGCCCGTCTGACGCCGTCGGAAGCCGTCTTGGGAGCCGCTCTGGGCCGACTTAGGGCCTCCTTGGGGTGCTCCAGTGCAGTCTTGGATGCTTCCTTGAGCGTCTTAGAGCCCTCCTGGGTCGTCTTTGGGCCCTTCTGGGGCCGTCTTGGGGGCCTTTTGGGCAGGCAGTCCTGAGGCCATCTTGGAGGCCTCTTGGGCGCTCTGGGGGCGATCTTGGGGGCCTCTTGGGCCGTCTTGGGTCGTCGGAAGGCCGACAAAGAGCAAATACGACAATCTCTCAAACACATAAGGAAAATCAATGATTTTGGCCTCTTCTGGCCCTCCTGGAGGACCTCTCGGAGGCCTCTTGGGCCGTCTGGGAGCAGCGGGTTCTGCCTCTGAAAAAAGCCTGCGGGCCGCGGCCCCCGACTCGGGTCTTCTGGGCCCCGAGGCTCGAAGATGCAGCATCGGCGAGGGTCTGGGCCCCTAGGAGGAGGAGGAGGAGGAGGAGGAGGAGGAGGAGGACCAGTTGAATTCCAAGAGTCATCAACGATGTTGGAATTAACCCTCCAAGCTCCCTCTTTATAGGCCCCTGCAACAGTTCATTTCCATTGAGGGAACTGCCTCGTTGAATTTCAACGTCACGTGTCATCCTGACTGCTGCGTCTTGACGATCCAGAATCGTACCAGAACGCCATTTTTTGGGCTCCAACACAGCGAATCAACATAACTGTTGCGCCCGCATAATCCTGAATCCTTCCTAAGCACGATTGCTGGTACGCTGGTCATGGGAGCCCATGAAACTCTTGCAAATGTTTGAGACGAATGTGCGCGGCGCTACAGGCGATAGCCACATTTTGAAAAGGAACCGCCCTCATTCAGTGAAACTCTTAGAATTGTGAAACACGAATGCGCGCGGCGCTAAGGCGAGAACCACATTTTGGAAACGACCCGCCCTCAATTCGTGAAACTCTTGTAAATGTTCACAACGATTGCGCGCGGCGCTAAGGCGAGAGCCACATTAAAAAAACGGCCCGCCTTCAGTCCATGAAGCTCTTGCAAAGTTAAAACATGCGCGGGGCGCTAAGGCGAGAGCCACATTTTGAAAACAGCCCGCCCTCAATTCGTGCAGGCCTTGCACATTGTTTAAAAGAATGTGCGCGGCGCTGAGGCGAGAGCCACAGTTTAAACACGACCCGCCTTCAATCCGTGAAACTCTTGCAAAGTTTAAAAAAATGCGCGGGACGCTAAGGCGAGAGCCACATTTTGAAAACGACCCGCCCTTAATTCGTGCAGGCCTTGCACATTGTTTAAAAGAATGTGCGCGGCGCTGAGGCGAGAGCCACAGTTTAAACACGACCCGCCTTCAATCCGTGAAACTCTTGCAAAGTTTAAAAAAATGCGCGGGACGCTAAGGCGAGAGCCACATTTTGAAAACGACCCGCCCTTAATTCGTGCAGGCCTTGCACATTGTTTAAAAGAATGTGCGCGGCGCTGAGGCGAGAGCCACAGTTTAAACACGGCCCGCCTTCAATCCGTGAAACTCTTGCAAATTGATAAAACGAATGTGCGCGGCGCTAAGGCGAGGGCCACAGTTTGAAAACCACCCGCCCTCCATCTGTGAAGCTGTTGTAATTTCTTGAGCCTCAGAGTCATCAGTGGTGAGGAAGTCTCAGGCGAAACGCCCAGCCCGCCCTAAACATTGGCTTCGGGGTGCGACAGGGAGGAGTTATCTATAAATGAAGAAGGGAGGAGGAGGAGGAGGAGGGAGGAGGAGAGGAGGAGGAGGAGGAGGCAGGAGGAAGGGTAGAGGAGGAGGGGTGGGGAGGGGAGGGGAGGAGGAGGGGAGGAGGGGAGGAGGAGAGGAGGAGGAGGAGGGAGGAGGAGGAGGAGGAGGAGAGGAGGGGGAGGAGGAGGAGGATGAGGAGGACGCGTTCGACGAACCCTCAGACCGTCAGGAATCAGGAGGAGGAAGAGGAGGAGGAGGAGAAGAAAACGGAGGAGGAGGAGAAGGAGGAGGAGGAGGAGAAGCAGGAGGAGGAGGAGGAGGAAGAGAGGAGGATGAATGGAGAAGAAGGAGGGGAGGAGGAATGGGAGGAGGAGGAACAGGAGGAGGAACAGGAGGAGGAACAGGAGGAGGAACAGGAGGAGGAGGAGGAGGAGGAGGAGGAGGAAGACAAGGAACTCGGTGCGTGCGGCACGGTGGCGGACTCCACGCCCGCGGAGGCAGCAGCGGCCCAGGCGTCGCCGTGCCAGTCGGGCAGCGCTGGCTCGGGGACCCGCGCGTTCCGCCGGGCCCCAGATCTGCAGAGGCTGCTGGAGGGGATCTCTGCAGATCCCGACAACCCGTACAACTGGCTCCTTGGGTAGCAAGAGGAAAAGGTACCCATACCACTACCCTTCGCCCGTGTTCACCTTTTGGGGTCTCCAGGGCGGTCCTCGTCGCCACCGCTGGATTCGCGTCAGGATGTACCCCGGGAGAGGTCCAGGGAGTAGCGGTATCGGTACCTTTTGGTTTCTTCATTGGGCGTCGCGTAATGAGGGGCGAGAATTGTCAGGCGGGGCGTACGAGGAAAATCCGTTCCCGAGCGCTCTCAGAGCGCGTTCACGCTCTGAGCAGGCCGCGGCACCCGAGACATCCTCCAGATCCGTTGGATCTCAGAGATTCTCGATTCATCCGAACCCGAACTGATCCTCGTTTTGGCTTCGTCTTATCATTGCGTGGGGGCAGCGAGGGCTGCCGAAAAGGCG